CATTATGGTGCTGGTGAAGAATATTGAATACCTTGGACTGCCAGAAGAACAAACACATTTGTCTTGGAAGAAGTATAGCCAGAATGCTCCTTAGAAGCCAGGATGGCGAGACTTCATCTCATGTATTTTGGACATATTGGGAGGGACTATATCTTTGATATCCTAAACGAGTAAAGTTTTACTAAAAGTAATACAGAAACAGCTACAAGCATACATTGACAGAGCACTTCCAGAGGTTCAAGCCGGATCCAGAAGAGGCCGTGGAACGAGGGATATCATTACTGATGTCCGATGGATCTTGGCTGAAAGCAGAGAATATTGTATGCTTTATTGACTACACAAAGGCTTTCGATTGTGTGGATCATGACAACCTATGGACAATATTGTGAAGTATGAGTATTCCAGAACATTTAATTGTGCTCATGAGGAATCTGTACCTGGACCAAGAGGCAGATGTTCAAACAGAACATGGGAACAATGAATGGTTTAAAATTAAGAAAGGTGTACGACAAGGTTGTATTCTTTCATCATACTTATTCAACCTGTATGCTGAGCAAATAATCTGAGAAGATGGTTATATGAAGAAAAACATGGCATCAGGCTTAGAAGAAGACTCATTAACAACCTGCGATATGCAGATGATACAACCTTGCTTGCTGACAGTGAAGACTTAAAATATTTACTGATGAAGATCAAAGAGCACAGCCTTCGGTATGGATTCCATCTCAATGTAAAGAAAACAAAAATCCTCACCATTGGACCAATAAATAACATTCGTATCAACGGAGAAAGGACTGAAGTTTCAAGGACTTCATTCTTCTTAGATCAACTATCAACACTCATGGAAGCAGCAGTCAAGAAATCAAACGACGTATTGCATTATGCAAATCTGTTGCACAAGACCTTTTTAAAGTGTTGAAGAGCAAAGAAATCAGCTTGAGGACTGAGGTGCGCCTGACCCAAGCCATAGTATTTTCAATAATCTCATATGCATGTGAAAGCTGGGCAGTGAATAAGGAAGACCGTAGAAGAATTGACGCATTTAAGTTATGGTGTTGGAGGAGAATATTCAAAGTGCCATGGGCTGCCAAAAGAACCAACAGATCTGTGTTGGAAGATGTGTAGCCAAAGTGCTCCTTAGAGGCTAAGATGGTCAAACTTCATCTCTCATACTTCAGATATATTGTCAGGAGGGACCAGTTGCTGGAGAAGGATATCATGTCTGGTAGGGTGGAGGGTCAGCGAAAAAGGAAGATTCCCTCCCGCCTCCCTCCAGTGAGATAGATTAGCAAAGTGGCAGCATCAATGGGCTCAAGTGTGGCAATGATAGGATGGCCCAGGATCGGGCAGTGTTTCATTCTGCTGTGCATAAGGTCTGTGCATAAGGTCACTATGAGTCGGAACCGACTCGATGGCACCTAATCACAACAACAATCCTTGGCAAAGGGTATCATGTTTGGCAGAGGGTCAGTGAAAAACAGGAAGCCCTTCAATGAAATGGACTGACACAATGGACTCAAACTGTGATAACGAGGCTGGCACAGGGCAGAGTAGTGTTTCACCCTGCTGTACACAGGATCGCTGTGAGTCAGAGTCGACTTAATGCCATCTAACAATAAAAACTCCATTCTGAGCACAAAACACACCTGAAGAGGGTGTCTTATGAGACTCATGACTTCCCCATCAAGGCTGACAGATGTCTGTGACTTGAAGGGTAAATGCTAGCTCTGAAACCTGGGACGGAGAAAAGTAAGTGAAGGTTGGGCTGTGGGGATACGTGTGTATCTTGGAAATAGTACGGTACCTGGTCTATGGTACTTCAGCACTGAAAGACAATGATGGAACCAGGCCTTTTCTTGTAAAGTCATTTGATGAGCAAAGAAATTTCAAAGCCAAACAATGGGAATGCCTGTGGATCCCACTTCCCCTGCAGAGGAAAGTCATGGGAACTTTCCTAGAGATAGGGCCCATTCTGTATCACAGTCCGCCAAGAGCCTGCTCCAAAAGCCAAGCCCAGTTCCTCTGCAGCGAATCCACCTGGTTAGCCCCTGGTGGGGATTTGATTATCAAAGCCATCATTTGCTCCCCTGGGATCTACCTTGTTTGGACCAGATCAGAATTTTGTTTTTTTAAAAAGGACAACAAAAGCACAATCAGACAGTACTTCATACCCACTCAAGGCAACCATAAGCAAGAATAACAAGTACTAGCAAGGCTGTGGAGACCCTGTAACTCTCAGAGACTGCTGGCAGGAAGGAGTGTAAACTAGTGCAGCTGCTCTGCAAATGGGTTTGACAGTTCTTCACAAGTTCACCACTGAGTTATCACGTTGTTGTGCTCTAGAGTCGGTTCCCATTTATAGCCTCAAATCTTGGTGGGAGCAGAAAGCCTCATCTTTCTCCTGCAAAGTGCCTTGTGGTTTGAAGTCTAGTACTTATCCCACAGAGCCACCGTAATCCCCGAGTACTATCACCCAGCAGTTCTTCATAGCAGCATTATTAAGTCAAAAATGGAAATAATCTATATGTCTATCAACTGATGAATGGATAAGCAAAATGTGTTAATAATACTATTCAGCCATAAAGAGGAATGAAGAAGTACTGATACATACTATATAACATGGATGAATCCTGAAAACATATTAAGTGGCTTCTTTTATGGGAGATGTCCAGAATAGGCAAGTCCTTAGAAGTAAAACGTAGATTAGTGGCTGCCAGGGGCTAAGGGAAGGGGGAAATGGGAGTGTTGTTAATGGTTATGGGGTTTCTTTTTGGGGTGATGAAAGTGTTCAGGAATTAGATTTAGGGATGGATGCACAACACTGACTACACAAAACCCACTGAATTGTGTGCACTTTAGAGGGGTCAACTTTATGGTGTGTGAATTATGTCTCAATAAAATTATTTAAAAATTAAAGAGGAACAGGTTATTAATGCTGATGTTTATTGTACAGCCTCCAACCTTTTGGGTTCCACAAAACACATCCTGAAGTATTCTGAGTACGGCTTGGTGGTTTCACAGCTGGAAGAAGGAAGGCAACCCAAACACAAATTAGCACTAACTGCTAGACTAGGATTCCGAAAGGGCCCATTTACTGTTCCCCACCACCACATCCAAGACATTATACCTCCATGTCTTTGATGCAAGGAGACCCCGCCCCCCTTAAAGAGCTTCCTGGATTTAGTTCCAGGAAAATGGCTGATTCTGCAGATGAATTACTAAATCATCTGTTCAAAACACAGAATTGCATATATATGGCCACACAAGGGGTTTTCGTTTTGACCTCTGCTACTAGAAAATCAGGACCCTTGCTTGCTTCTGTCTGATGGTCCTTTAAACACTTGTTTTATAATCAAGAATGGTTTTATGAGCAAATTTCCCCTGGTCCTTCTGGTTGCAGATATGGGCCAATTCCAAAACAAAAGCGAACATTCCCCCCACTTGCGAGCTTCTGAGGAAGAAGGCTAACTGATGACTAGCTCTGCCTCATTTCTGGGTCTTTCAAGGCACTTATGTTCTAAAGCTGGTCAGCCCTCCCTGTCTCTGGGGTCCTGTACTAAATCAGTGCTTGAGCTGGCCTGCCAGCAGTACTCAGGGAGCCAGCTCATGTTAGCCTCCCCACCCAGGCCCAGCCTCCATCGGTCTGACCCTGGTCTGTGTGTCAGTTTAGTTCCCTGCTAACTCACCTGCAGACTGAGCAGATAGGTAGTATAAGACAGAAGCAAGACATCTGAGGAGAGGGGGCAGCTCCCTGTCTACAGTATGCCCTAATTTGGGGGAAGGAACCTTAGGTGCCAAGAGATGAGCAGACGCACCACCCATGGTTGCTGAGTGTGACTAGTACTTGGTCTCTAGCCTCTTAGCCTTGTACTTTATGGTGCGCTTTCCACTCCAGCACACACACGTGGCTTCCTCACAGACCACGTCTGTCGGGCCTCGGGCTGCAAAGGATCTGAGAACACCTAGGTCAGGTAGGTGGGCCTGGACACAGGCTTCCAGAACAGGGGCTTTCTGGGGGTGCCCTGCTTTCCCGGGTTGTGTCTTGCTCCACCACCACTGGCTTCTAGAGGCTGGGCTTCCTCACTGCTCCTACAGTTCCCACCATTCTCAGCTTTTATCTGAGTTCGAGGAGAACGAGTGGCACAGTGACAGGCATAGTTCTCTGTAGGGAAGTGCCACACAAAAGCCCGGAACCTTCCTTGCCTTTGGCACCAGTACCTATGGGTTGCCAGATATAGAAAACATGCATCAGGTGCAAAAATACACCTCAAATTTGGCTGCAAACAGGCCCTGTGAGGAAAAGGGACTTGCTTAGTAAGCTGGTGGCAAAAATGAGATTAGCCTTCAGGTGTGTTGTTGGGCTGCTACTTCTCAGGCCCAGAAAGACCCAGAGGACTGGCCCAGAATGGGCTTCATCAGAATGTCTTTTCCACCATCACGGAAGGCATCCTTGTGGGCCACTGGGTTTCCGGTCCCTCGTTTCCTTTTACACACAGTGATGTCCAGAACAGCAGCAGTGCATGAAAGGAAGGCACAGGAGAAGCAAGAACGGGCCCTGGGTAGGAAGAGCTGCTTAACCCCACAAAGACTCAAATTCTAGGGCCTCCTAAATGGCAGGAATGTGCACTACAAGCAAAAAGAAAAGTGGGAGACCGGCAACAAGGTTTCTGTATTGACATTTGGTTCTTAATAACAACATCCAAAATGCCTTCTGTTCTTAAAGAGCTGCTTCGGGTTGAGGGAATATGTTGCCGGAGTCTCCCCTGGAAGGAGGGAGGAGCTGGTGGTACACACTTCTTGGGACCTATACGCAGCCAGGTGGACCGCTGCAGTAGGTGCCTTGGCTCTGGTAGGGGGTGGTGAGGCAATCCCAGCTGGCCTGCAAATACATGGGCAGGGCCCCTTGCCTCCAGCCCACAAGAACAGGGTTGCTGATGGGGCCAGCGGTGGCAGCTCCAGGAGAATGGAGGGAGGGCTGGGCTGTTACATTCTTGAGGCCTTCACAGGTACATGTCATCGTAGCCCGGTGGGGGGAGATGGTCTGGATTAGGTCTGCAATGGAAAGATGGGCTGCTGAGTTGGTGTGATGGAGGGGCCAGGGGCACACAAGCAGATGTGGCCTTGAACTGAGGGCTACTGCCCTTCAGAATGATGTCGTGGTTCCTGGGGCCAGGCCATCTGGATGTGAGTCCTATCTCCTCCATGTGTCAGCTATAGGAACTTCAGTCATTTACTTAGTATCTCAGGGCCTCCATTTCTGCAGCTGGAGAATGTGGGCAGTAACATCTACCCAAGAACATGGCTATAAGGATATGAGTTCCTGACACACGTTAAAGTTGCAATCAGTATTAGCTCCTCTTCCAAGTCCTCCCGAGAGAGGAACTGGGGGAAGGGCAGCTCCCAGGAACGGGGAGCTTCTGGAGGGCTCCAGGAAGGCATCAGGCAGAGGGGGTAGAGGGAGCACCAAAGAAGGAAGCCACTCTGCCTGGTGTCAAACACCTCTCAGCCACACTGAGCTAAGGCTGCTGTCCCCTTCTACTTGTCAGCACCCTGACTGAATACCTACCCAGGCGGGCTGGTTCCAATGGGTCCAAAAGGGTCAAAGCGTGCTCCTGGGGGCACAGCACCTGGAGGAAGCCGGTTTGGAAGGCCTGAGGATGGGTCAATAAGTGCTCTGGGGAAGCCGGATCTCAGGGGGTCCACAATCATGCCACCTCTCCGACGCCTGAGGCAAGAAGGAAAGATGGCTAAGCAGGTGTGGCAAGGGGCTGTGCTTGACGAAGAGGTGAGGGAGGTAAGAATAGACTAGGAATGACTGAGATGTCAGCTCTAAATGGCCCAGGTCAGCAGGAACAGGAAGACAAAGAGCACTCTTTCCTGAAAGGCTCTGCAGGGCTCCTCAAGTCTGCAGAGTTTAGAACCCTGCTATGATCTAGACTCAAGGGGGCTAGAACTCACCAGGGCTGATGCAGAATCTCACAAGGCACCCAGTGCATGACTAATAATAGCACGGGACAGTCAGTGATGCTTGTTTTTATGGTTTGTCTGTCTGTTTTCACTGTTTCCTTCATGGGCTATGAGTTGCCCAAGTCTGGCTCCTGAGGGCATTTTCCTCCTGTGGAGTTCCATGGGCCGGACCAATCCCTGTACTCAAGCTAGGATGAATACGCTGACACTCCCCAAATGTTGAAGGCACTGTTCAAGTTGTGCTGAGTCAACAAAAGTTAGGCTCACTGGTCAGCAGAGGTTAACGTCTAGTCTTGAGTCACTCCGAAAAGACAATGCACAATGGAGGGGACAGCAAGAACCACAGAGAGTCTAACGGGGCGGAGAGACTCATCTTACCAAGTGGGATCATCTCTGAATTGCTCTGAACTGCCCACAGCTCTGGAGCCCTCCTCATGGTAGCCTGCCACCTTCCACCAGGGCCCACTGGGCCAGGAAATGATGGAGGAGTGACCTGCTGGGCTAACTCAGCCCTGCCAAACACTCAGAGCAGAACAAGTGGCAAGGATTGCTCAGCCGCTCAGCTCCTGCCTCCTTTACCCCAAAGCAAGGCTGATGAAGTGCTCTAAAATTAGAAGATGAGCTGGAGCTGACAAGCCATGAGAGCATGCTATGGTGCTATCGTCTCCCCAGCAGTACTCACCCAAAGGGGTCCAGGTCTTCTCCTCCAACAGAAAATGGGCCCAGGGGATCAAGCCTGAAACAAACAAGGGACAATTAGTTAAGTCCCAGAGCAGCCAGGTGCCTGGGCTCCCCAGGGTCTATGTCTGACACCTGTGGGGAGGCCACAGATATACTCCCAGGTTTCGGGGACAGAGAAACCCCTGCAGAAGGACTATGATAAATTGGTCCTTGGCATGAGTTAACAATGGTAATATTATTATGACAATGAAGTGAGAAGAGGATGGCGCAAGATCAGGCAACATTTCACTGTGATTTGGAACCATCTCGACAGCACCTAACAATTAAACACACACACACACACATATATATATGAAGAGGGCTTCAAAAAGTTTGTGGAAAAATTTTACTATCTTTTCACTCTATTTTTTCACAAACTTTCTGAAGCCCCCCTTGTACAATGTGTGGCTATGTATCAAGTACACATAAGTTAGATAGGGGACAAGGATCTTACTAGCAGCACAGATCTCTGCTTATGCACAGGATCCTACTGGAAGACCACAAACCATGATCTTTAGGTTTTTTGTCACCCTGCCCCCTCCCCACTCAAACCAATTTCACCCTCACTGAGAATGTACGAGCTAAGAGCAAAAATGAGTGCATGCTTTCTCTGGAGAGTAATTTTATATCATCTATCATGTAAGTCCTTGTGTGGCGCTGTGGGATAAGCATTGGACCTCAAGGTCAGTGGTTCAAGCTCACCAGCCGCTCCTCAGAAACCCTATACAGTGTCGCTGTAAGTCAGAAATAACTTGATGGCATTCAACAACAACAATCAAATTATAGTTGTTTATATCTATTTTTTAAAAGCTGTACAACAGACCTTTAGATAATTTTATGTCAGAATCCATCCTAAGGGAAGAATACAAAGTTCAATAGCACCACAAAGACATTAATCTAGGAAGCTGGGATTGGTATAGGTGGGGATACTAGGAACATTACGATATGCATGCCCTGCCCATAGAAACTGCATGGGAACAACAGAAACAATGTCAGTCAGGTGTTTACAAAGGATGTGGGAAATGCTTTCATTCTAGTGTTAAGTGTAGGGAAGAGGGGACTGACAATAGGCGAGGAAATCAACTGTGTGAATCAAACTAGAAAGAAGCAAACTGAAAGTGAAAACCCACTCTTGTGTGTGGGGGGGAGCTTTTTATTTATACTACCCCACCCCATAAAGGATGTGTATTTTGTTTATAATAAAACCAAAGGATTTTGTTCTTTTTAAAAGGTGCTTTTTAAGCTTTTCAATCTGCTTGGAACCCAGGTAAGCCATACAGATCTGACACTTCTAGGGCACAGGCAGATTCCTGGCAGACCTCAGGAAAGCCTGGAACATGGCAGCTAATCTAAGCTCCCAGGTGGTGGTGGTGATGTGCTGTGGAGTTGGTTCCAACTTATAGCGACCCCACATTGTAAATCTTTACAGGAGCAGAAAGCCTCATCTTTCTCCCGTGGAACAGCTGGTAGTTTCAAACTGCTGACCTTGAGGTTCACAGCCCGACTCGTAAACACTATGCTACCAGAGCACCCAGGTAAGAAGCCATTAATTAAAGAACTGGGAAAGAATCCAAACGTAGATGCTCTTCAGTCAGTTCCACCTACTGGATGGAAAGGATTTTCCAGTTTTGGTAGACATGGCTAAATTTCCATGGGAAAGATGTTTTGGTGACTTAAGGCATGGTTGTCAAGCCATGGTCCATGGAGGGGGTATCCCAAGTTTCCTCCAACCGTTTACCTCATTGAATAGACCAGCTAGCCACCAGAGGGCAGCACGCATGTCACGTGGACTTACACCTCTGTGAACTCCCATTACAGAGCAGCCAAGATGGGGCTTCTAGTGGCATTAAAAATGCCCAGAATAAAGCCTTGACAGTTCCTGAAATGTGAGCCATTTCTATTTTTCTCTGTAGGGCCGAAGAGTGGGGAGGAGGGGGAAGCCCACCTCATTGATGTATATAAGGGAAATGGGCAGAGCACATCCATTGGGGTCACACGTGGCACAGCCGCAGCGCAACACATGCACAATTCTGTGCACTCAGTATGTACACACATACAACCCATTTAATAACTAGTCCTCCCCAGCCAAGTCTCAGTTCCTCACACCTCTCAGGGTTCTTTCTGTAATGCCCTCTGAACGCAAGCTGTATTAGCTCACCTGGAGACCAATTGAAGGCAAGAGTGATCCATTGTAACTCTTTAGGGAATATTACCAGGCTGAGACCCTGGGGCACAAGTACCCCAACTCTCACAGGGGCCCCTCTAAGGGATTTGAGGGTGATCTTGATAATACACAATTTATTCCTACTGGCTCCCCTCTTTCCTTACATAAAAGCAGCTTACTTCTTGGAGCCACACAAAGCCAGCTGATGCCATTCTGGGGCCGAGGTGGTCCGGTGAATGGCCTCAGGACTGGAGTCAGATGGGCTCTGGACTCTGGTCTATCTAGCTGGTCTGCAGGGAGCTGTCACTAAGCCTCTGAACCTCAGTTTAAGACAAACTGAATCGTGACACTCACAGGGCAGCGGTGATGGGGAAATGAGGTACGGGAAATGAACAGATATACTGACGGCAATGGCCTGAAGGAACACAATGATGGAAGCCGAGATACACTGAGCACCTGCTATGCTAAATCATTTAGGGGGATTTAAAAAAAAAAAAATTGTGTGTGTGGTATAGGTTAAAGTTTAAAAAGCAGATTAGTTTTCCCTTTCAGCAATTTATACACATTTTGTTTTACGGCATTTGTTCAATTCCCTCAAGTTAACAGCGCTCTTTCTACTTCCTCCCTAGGCTCCCTGTTTCCATTGCCCAATTCTCCTACCCCGTCCTGCTTTCTGAACTTTGTTTGGCGGCAAATGATGTCCTTTTAGTCTTGTAGGGTTGAATGTTATTCCTCACACATGTTATTGTTCACTTTCTGTTGTTGTTGTTAAGTGCCATTGAGTTGGTTCTGACTCATAGTGACCCTGTACAGGGTTTCCAAGGAACAGCAGGTGGGTCTGAACCACTGACCTTGCTGTTAGCAGTCCAGTGCCTATGCTACAGTGTCAGACCATGACGCCTGTATGAGACAACTGCTTATTTGGGGAGTAAGTCCAGTTCCAGGTTTGAAGGGTGTCTAAGGTCCATAGTCTTGGGATTTCATCAGTTTGTTAGACCAGTAAGTCTGGTCTTTTTTATGATTCTGAATTTTGTTCTATCGTTTCCTCCCACTCTATTCAAGACCTTCTGCTGTGATCCCCATCAGAAGGTTGGTAGTGATAGTTGGGCATCATCTACTTCTGGACTCATGCCAGTGGAGGCTGTGGCTCGTGTGCGAATCCACTTAGACTAAATGCTTCCTTGAGTCTTTAATCTTCCTCATTCCTCTTTGCTCCAGATGAGAAGAGACCAATAATTCTACCTTAGGTGGTTTTTCGCAAGCTTGTTGGTTTTTTTTTTTTTTTTTTTTTTTTTTGAGGTTCTATATTTCACTGAAAAATATGATTAACTTTTTTATACCTTGTAAAAAAATAGTCCTATTATACTTTTCTAATAGAAAAAATAAAACCCAATTTGTTGACATTTAGTTTTCAAAGCAGTCTAAATTATAAAGCTAGAACTACAGAATAAAATTCCTTTAGCAACCTACGACTGTTTTTTCATTAAGAACTAGCATTTATTTTATAATAGGACAAAGTGCACTGCTACTGCTGGGGGGAAATGAATAGGAGGCAAGTGACGACAGTGGGGCATCTGGAAGGCACTCCAAGTGCTGTAGAATATGAGCTGACGGACTTTACCTCTGAATAACTCTGGCAAGCAGAGCTGGATTCCACCTATGCCTAGGTACAAGTAAGTGTTCAGATGCCAATTTTTCTAGAGTACCTCACACACTTCTGTCAGTTGAACTGCCAGAGTTAGAATTTAATCAAAGTAGACTTTGCCACTTCCCCCAGCCAGCCTCATAGGAACATTCCTTAATTCCTACCTGGTTGTGATGGCATACCTCAAGAGTCTCACAGAGTATGTTCACAAGCTTTTAAGACCCAAGTTGCTACTCACCAAATAGAATGTAGAAAACATTGTCTTTATAGATTATGTTCTGCCAATTGATGAGACTATAGTTCTAGGTTCCCCGGCCTAGTGAATCATTCCCTCAAGGTATGTGGCTTAGAAGTTTGTATAATTTTGCCCTCTATATACTGGATATATGCTGTATTATATACCTGGATATATTTACACCAAATACAAATACACATGTAGAAATAGCCTCTGACTAACCTATTTATGCTCATGTACTCTCATACACTATCCCACACCTGTTTTTATAATGATGACTATTATTATTATTGCAGGATTGTGTATGGAACAGTCTTTGCCATTGCTGCCTTTAACTCTTGCATCCCTCTCAGTGTCTTCCTTTGCCTTGGTCACGTTGTGCTGACCTCACCTTATTGTGCACTGCCTTTCCCTTCACACAAGCTAACATAGGTCTACTAGCTAGTTAGTGATTTTTCTCTCCCTCTCCACCACTATTCTTAGTAACTAACATATTTTTTCCTTCTGTGCGTAAACATTTTCTTGACTTTCTCTAACAGTGGTTTCATACAATATCTGCCCTTTTGTGACTAACTTATTTCACTCAGCATAAGGCCCTCTAGGATCAGCCAAGTCATAAGGCATTTCATGGATTCATTACTCTGTAGCATTGTGTGTATGTACCAGCTTGTTTATCCATTCTTCAATTGATGGGCACTTAAGGCTGTTTCCATCTTTTTGCTACTATAAATAAGACTGCACTGAACATGGGTACACTAAATGTTTTTGAACAATTTTGAAAAGATTAATTTTTAAAATGTAAATCTTATGAATAGGTAATACTTAAGAAAACTTTGGTTTTTTAAAGTTCTCTTGAATCTAGAATCCTGGATAAGAGATTGTGGGATTGTAACAGCCAAATGCCGTCCTTGTCCCCAAGCCCACCAGGTCTCTCACCACAGGAAACCAGTGTCTCCAGATTCCTGTCTGTCC